TTTTAATACAAACCTTTTCTTGTTTTGATAAATAATTTTGTATATACTATAAAAAAAAATATATATATATATATAAAACAGAGTGCAACCTGCTTATCTGATATTGAGTGATACCCATAAGCCTTTTAATAATTGGTACGCTCCTTTCTTGAAAGACCCTAAGAAAAATTGGTGGGCGGCCGTCGAGGCGATATGGATGGAATTTCGTATTCTATCTCTTGTTTTGAAAAGATTGATAAATTACCAATAAAATGATAACTGAAATCCTTTAAAGTAGGATTTTTAAGGAGTGAAACTTGTTTATCAAAGAAACGGAATTAATTTCAAACGTAATCCTCATAATTTTTGTAAATATTTTCCTCAGAAGCAAAACACTCAAATATTTTTATTGCTAAATGAAAGAAGGGCTTAACATAAAAGCAATCAACTCGCTACTCTTTGATATTTAATTTTACTAGAAAAGGTTATGAGAGTGAAAAGTGCGGTAATAATAATTAAATCCTTATAACGTTATTTAATTTGATGAATTTAATTGTTCTTCGGGACCCATGACGGGGTTCCGATCAAAGATACTGAAAGAAGCTAGGATAACTGAGCGTTTCTTAAGGCAGTTTTTGCCGCGCACCACCACTATTTGGAACTAACTGAAGTATTTCCGAACCAATTCGACTTAGGGTCCTTCAAGAAAAGAGCCTACCAATTCTTAAAAGGCTGGCAACGCACTAGCCTTCTGGCAATGTGAGTGTCCATGGGCGGCTGTATCACTTAACATCAGATGAGCTTCCTGTCCGTTTACCTGCTATCACAAAAAATCTATATATATAGATCTACAATTATTGTAAATATTGTAAATAAACGGGCTTAATTTTTATTATAATTGTTATTTAAAAGACCAATAATTATTTGTTATGTGACAGTCAAAATTATAAAAGGATATTTTTGTTTATGCTGAAAGGTGACTGTTTATAGAAGCAACCTCAAATTGTGAGTCTCAGAGGTGTCAGTATTCTTTCCTTACGATTTTTTCTTTTACCGTAGCTGTAAGTGTCGATGGCACACAAACAAAGGAACTACATTTATAGTGAAAAAACCTTTTGTGAATAAAGTTGCACTGACACCATTCAGACGAATATTAATGCACTAATGTATAAAAATGTTGTACGTATGTATTGTATGTGATGTTAGTGTGTGTGAAGCCGGTCATTATTCGTAAGTACTAGAGGATAGGAACCCTGTACATATAGATTTCGGGAGTACAGTCCTGATAATAAGTTTGCGATATGGGATTATTTATTATATGTTTTCGTTGCTCTTTTTCCCATAATTATTGGGGAATAAGTTTATACTAAATATATGTTATTGAATGTTGCCATATTATACGTGATACATAACAGCCTGGAAAATTTATGGAAATCATTGCAGACCAGGTTTTGCGCAGATGAATTAGCCTAAATAAATACATTTTTATTTATAATTGAAAAACAGCGTCCTTCCAGCTCATCTGATGTTTAGTGATGTTACCATGGACACTCAATTTGCCAGAAGGCTCGCAATTGTGTTGCCAGCTTTTGAGCAATAGTACGCTCTTTGTGTGGTGGGTGCTTGTTCCACATAGAGGTGCGCGGCAAAAACTGCTTACAAAAACGCTCAGTTGTAGAATGACGGACGAAGTCAAAGTCAATAATCATTTATTCATATAAGTAACACATTGTACACTTATGAACCTCAACAAAAAAATATACCTTAAATGCTTCTAGAGCGAGATTGCGAAATACTCCTCTAAACACTCTCAATGGTAAACGTGAAAGAATATTCTTTCCCGTTTCCCATCTCTAGATGGGGCCAGAGGCATCTGCCCCCATATGCCAAGGATTAGTCGTTGACGATTCCAATCGCTCTACTGAAACCGGTCAAGTAGAAGGAGATAGTACTTGGGAGCTTCCGCTCAGAGGTAAGAACAGTACTCCATGTGAGGCTTAATTTGCGCTTTATACAGCTGCACGCGGTGGCCTGGAGTGAAGTACCGTCTCGCCTTGCTGAGCACACCAAGCTTTTTGAAGGCTAATTTAGCCTTCCCTTCCAAATGACCGCTAAACTGATTCATTCAATATGTCGACGCCTTGTATTCCGACGCTAGCTGACACTTTATGGAGAGTATCATCCACGAGAGGAGTAGCGACAAAGGGAGTTTATTAAGCAGTAAACGAGCAAACTTGTGTCTTCTTGGGGTTAAATTGGACTAGATTTAGTCTACCCTAGTTCGAGACTCCACGTGGCAGAGTTTCGACTTCAGACATAAGTTTGTTCCAGTACTCATGGACAACTGCCCGGCCAGTGTAAAGAGTATCCCCAGAGCTGTCGTCCGCATAGCAATGAATGTTGCAACATATCATTGATGTGCAGAAGAAACAGTGTCGGGGAAAGGACACAGCCTTGTGGACACAGCCGTGTGGACACGGCTGTTCACGGGTCTAAGGTCAGAACACGCTTTATCAGTAACGACCTTGGTGCTCCTATCAGTGTAAAAGCAGGAAATCCAATCGCATACGGGGAACCAGGGAAAGTTTAGCTTATTTAAATATTTTTTTTGTATATAACTTTGAACGTTCTTAGTTGACTTCTATTGTAGTCATTTTATTAATTAGTAAGAGGCAAAGCCTTAGTTTTTCACTAAGCTTTAGACACATAAATCTGAAGATAAAGGAAATTGTTAATGACGTCGTTACTGTCTTAAGATTTCGTCTGATTTTTCTTTCAGAAAACTTAGAAATTGTTTTCTGTATTTTGATTTGAAGTTTTTGTAAAAATTAAATGTAAAATCTTTTGTTCTATTCACCAAAATTTTACCAGAATAATTGATATTACTTAATTTGGATCAGAATTCAATGAATAGAGCCGAGATAAAACACATAAAATTATCTATGAAATAATAATCTAAGGCTCAATCCGACCTAACTACACAAATTAAGTGCCATTTATTGATCTACCCTCGGGCGAACGTTAATTAAAACTTCGCAGTTTTGGTATAACTGCGTTAACTGTCAACTCACTCAAGTCAACTCAATTTAAAATTTAGACTTAAGTTTTGCGTTTTGATTTAAGTCAGGTATTAATAACTACTTTACGAAACAGACAATGCCGCAGTGCACTGTAAGTTTAGTTTTTTCGTTTTATTTTATTTTTGTGCTTTGTCTAATAAAAAAGTATTTTATAATTGGAATAAAAATCGACGATACCGTGGACTGAATAAATTAAATCGATTTATTTTTCACCGTCAATCATGAAATTTTTAATCAATTAATAACTATTTTAACTCCTAATTGCAAATACAGCAATTTTATTCAAAATTAAATTAAACATAAATATAAAAAACATAAAAGCTTTTAAATTACATTTACTGACAATTCTCATATAATTGTTAGGGTTTCCGTTTACTGTAATCCTACACTCTATGTCTATGAGCTGTTAATATCTGACTACAATTCATAATAGTTTAATTTAAATTACTTCTAATAAAAACGTAATACTTTTCGTAAAGCCTTTTTCTCTTCTTGAGGAGATCAAAATACCGGCGTCGTAAGTATCGATATATTTCGCCCACCGTACGTAGGTTAACGCTCACACACAAAGAACCGCCAAAATCGGTCGCAGGCGCATAGGTCAAGCGCACTTCTCCGTCCCTCTCGCACACACAGTAAAAGTGAGATAGATATTGTCTAAAGAGCTTACAAAAATGCAGTTTCGGGCAAGTAATGACGGTTTCTTGGTATTAGGTATTGCAATTGCTTTATCAATTTGATCTTTAGTTGCCGACATCATGAAGGACATCAATTTTGATAAAAACGGTTTGCATTTTTCCTTCTTTTTATATAGTATAGAAACGTTATAAATGAAAAAGCTATTGGAAACAACACTGGTATTATCATAAGTTTTATGCCCCATTGCAGCAGTGTTGGTTTAGTGGCTTCAGCGTGCCACTCTTATCCTTGAGGTCGTAGATTCAAACCCCGGCTGTGCACCAATGACCTTTCCGTCTATGTGCAAATGGCATTCGCTAGAACGGTGAAGGAAAACATTATGAGGAAACCGACGGCGTGTGTCAAGCACAAGAGGCTGACCACCTACTTGACTATTACATTGACAAATGATCGTGAAACAGATACAGAAATCTGAGGCCCAGACCTAAAAAGGTTGTAGTGGCACTGATTTATTTATTTATTTTTATTATGCCCCAATAAGGTGGTCTGCGGCTGGGAGTCAACCCCAGAATATTCCGGCTACGGTGGCATTTAAATAGAAAAATATATTTTTTTATAGTATACTTTATATACTACTAGCTGACCCGGCTAACTTCGTTCCGCCTAACAGTCTAAAAATATCGTATCAATATTGCGATACTGCATGTTAAAGCACTTTCTGATATACAACATTTTTTGATGAGGTAACACATCACACATGTCTTCGATCAAGATCAAAGCCTGGTTATGCATCTACTCATTCACCTCAAGATCGGAATTTCTTGAACTGACACGAATTCGATGTAAAATGGTGCGTAATTTTGTCAACTGATGCCACCATATGGTGTTTGCATTCGTTATTAATTTAGTTATTTATTGTTATTCGATAACTAATCCGATATTTTATTACTGATTATGCTATTCGGAGCGGAGAAGAATCCGCCAAAAAACAGATAACTAACAAATTAGATTATATATTTAGATTACTATGCTTTTTATATACTATACTTGGTTTAGTTGGACGTAGTCCTCGGTTCGATTCCACATGGCGAAAAAATTGCTATAAGTCACCACAAGCAAGTTACCATTTGGTCCACCGTAACGCAGAGCTTGCTTACTTAATTATTGGGGCAAACTCGCGTTCAATTGTATACCCTATCAGATGACATTTATTTCTCAGTGTATTTGTAATGAAATATATAAAAACTTTGAAACTCACGCTTAAAAGTATTAAAAGTTTTTCGATGAGAAAAAGTGAGTTATAACTTGAGTATCCATTCCAATCGGTAAGACTCTACAAACGCGATTAGAGACTGAAGCAAGCTTTTAAAATCTCTTGGAAAACGCTGCCTTCAATTTCATGGCATTTAACTTTCTTCTCTCGAATTCGCAATTTCAAGTGCATTTTAGAATTCTGAGTTTGCTTTGGAAATTCACATTTTTATTTTACGATACTGGTATGTACAATATATCGTTGACTTGCTTCATTATTCAATTTTTATCTTTAATGTTAAAGAACAATATTTGTCTGGTTGATAAACATATGCTTTTATCCATGTGCATGTGGCATTCGAAAGGTTTCTTGCATTTTATTTATTTACACTTCATTGCATTAATACAGTACAATTAAAATAATTAAATATAAAGGAGGGCAACAGGCAATACTGCTAAAAGAATAATTAGATAAGGTGAGCGCAAGAAGTGCAAAACTACATACAATTACTTAGACAAAACTAATGGAATAAAGCAACGCAATTAAACCAGATGTAAACAGTGAAATAAAGAATATAAAAAGGACACATGAAAATGAAGAACAAAACTAAAACTAAAACTCGTGATTCAGTTTAAGTTAGTTTAAGTGACTAATACAGAATTATATCACAGGACGTATATAAAAATATCTGTTTTATTCACAGCGCAAACATAATTGAACAGAAAAAGACGATGAAGTGCTTAAGTTAAAAGGGTACAACTAAATTGACGTATTTTTATAAATAAGAGAGCGAATATATAGGTAATAAGTCTAAGTAAAGAAAGTTTATTGAACGTACATAAATTTTATATCAGGCGTAATAGTTTTCTTCGTTTAAGACTATAATATAACAAAATCCTCGTACCACTTACGTTTACATTGACAGTTAAGGTGTGTAATGTAGACGCAAAATAGATTATTACATATTACATAGCAGATATTTTAAGGTATCTTCCTTATCACATTTTTCATCAAAAAATATATGTTCGCTATCGTAATATATAAAAGAACTACAATTTATAGAAATATCCAAATTGAACTGAAAAAACTTCATATTGAACTTTACAATATTTAACGCCTAGTAAAAAATAATAAGCAACGAGACCTATACATGAATTACAGGCGCAGCAATTCCTAGCAGAAAATAATTTTTAAAAGTAAATAAAGTTTTATGAAAACAACCACGAGTGTTCTCGTTATTATTACTTATTCACGCAGGGGCTGAACATGACACTTAGATTTATTAATGTCAGGGGACGAGGTGCGATACCCAAATATTAATTCAAAGTCGGACGTGTAACAGTTACGTTAATGAATACATTCAGAAATTGTGTTATTAGATTTCTGTGCACAATATACCATGTGATGTGCTCATGTAGTTTTAAAGGAATTACTATTCGCTACTACTATTAAACGTAACAAGTTGTAGTTTGCTGGTAGTTTTTAATTTGATTGTCAAGTTACAAACAACTCGAAATTTGTTCGATTCATCGAAATTTGTTGGAGGTTGGATCGTGATGTTTGATCATAATGTTGCGAAGTGTTAATGGTTAATAATTATATCACGATGTAGATTAAGGAAGTGATTCTACGTTTGGGTACAATTTCTAAAGTCTTTAACGTTGAATAAAAAATTTAAAAATCAGTGGCACTAAAACCTTTTTAGGTCTAAGCCTCAGATTTCTGTATCTGTTTCATGATCATTTGTTAATCTAATAGGCGAGCAGGTGATCAGCCTCCTGTGCCTGACGCACGCCGTCAACTTTGTGGGTCGTTCCTTTCGAGCGAATGTTAAATGCGCACATAAAAAAAAGTCCATTGGTACACACCCGGGAATCGAACCTACGACCTCAGAGATAAGAGTCGCACGCTGAAGCCACTAGGCCAACACTGCTCCAACGATGGTTTAACGTTGAATATACAGTAATAATGTATCTACCTTGATCTCAATTGGTGGTTATAAAAAGTAAAGGTCTCTTTCATATACACTACTTATTTAGTAGTCTGTTACTTACGCAAATTACGGTTCAACATTTCAGTTTATAGTAAAAAAAATGTAAAATAGCATAAGATATACCGTTTTTGTTGTAAGTGCATTTTTATTTAAACAAACAACAATTTTAAAACATTATTATCACAAAAGGTACTTACCATATGCTATATGCTAAACACAAAAACATACAATGCTTACTCCTTCATCTATCATTACGAAAGGTTCAACATTCATATTTGATTCAAATTGACGCGAATATTCCTCCATTAAATCAACAAATTATAAGAACACAAAATTTATTTACCTGTTCATTGCTGTCTGGTTTGCTACTCGTCACAGAAGCTGAAGACGGCACTGGTTTCTTCGCACACCACCGCCTGCACATACATCTGAAATTTTAATTTCCAAGAATAAATGTTGTCGTTTCCAAATGGGGGGAACCATTACAATTATACCATAAAATTTATACAGAATCGGTTGTTTTGGTTGCTTTTTTTTAAAGAAAAGGGGGCCAATGGGCAGCATGCTCACCTGATGTTAAGAGACACCACCACTTAGAATTGGTACGCTCTTTTCTTGAAGGGCCCTAAGTCGAATTGGTTCGGAAATACTTCATTCGAATATAGTAATAAATCCAAAATAAGTATAGTTTTGCTTATAGTCAAACTGTTCACTCTTATTATAGGAGTGCGTAGTTCACACAGGATGTCAAAAGTAAAGTAAATATATGTGTTTATTTTAAAAAAGGTTTTTATTGCAATCTGACTTGAATTTATTTCCCTAACCATTAAAAAAAACAATTATTTACCTACGCTCTACGTCTCATAAGACAGTCATCTTTACATATATATTTAACTGTGTATTTGACAAATAATAACTTTGGTCCCCTAGATCATACTGTAACAGTTAGCATTATACTGGTGTACAAGACTAGGAACCGCTTGCATTTATCTACACAAATCGCTGTCACACATGTTTTACGAGGCATGCCCAGGATGTACCTAACATTCAGCCTAATCTGATAGATAAATATCTAAAGGCGGCAAACAAAAATCAAGGAACGGGTCTCGCAAGGAATTGCCCGGCTCGCCCATGAATATTGTAAATAAAAATATTAACGATGTAGCCGGAGCGAATCTCGCGAGACGCGTAACGCGTCATTCGTGAACTGGTTGATTGTAATTAATATATTGTACCATTTTAGATATTATAGCATCAATGATTGTTTTTATCTATTTTTTCATTATTTTTCACAAGTATTGCAAAATTAAACTTATATGAAATGTTTTTTTGTTTAGTTTCGCATTTCTCAAACATTCAACCACAATGTGCCACAGCGAAGCGTGGCAGGGAACAGCTAGTTATTAATAATTATATTAAGAAAGCAAGGTTTGCGCCATTTGAACACAACTTGTGCTGCATATAAGTAAATCATTAATTTATATAATAGTGTCCTGATATTTTTGCATTTTCCAATATCATAGATCAAACGACCCGGCTGTAAATTCATCTGTACACCGGCAATGATTGGATCATTCGCTCAGTGAGACTTGGCCGAGTGCCAGGGGCCATCGAATGAGATTAACTTTACACGCTTAACGACGTTGTCTAAATATTGTGCCAAGGGTTCATAACGAGTGGTTTTACAATCACTTGTTGAGTTTTATCGTTTGTTAAATATTCAAAGTTTTCTAACACAGTCACTTTATGCAGTTACGTGCAAATTGAATGAAATTTTTTTAAAGATACATTTATATAAAATCCTCTCTAAAGTAAAAAAGAGTTATGTACAACATTGTGATGATACAATCTCAAATTTAATGCATTTAATACAGTACTTGAACTAATCGAGGATATATAGCTATTAGCGGCTTACAACGCATTAATAAAATAAAATAAATCCGTGGCGCTACAACATTTTTAGGTCTGGGCCTCAGATTTCTGTATCTGTTTCATGATCATTTGTCAATCTAATTGGCAAGTAAGTGATCAGCCTTCTGTGCCTGACACACGCCGTCGTCTTTCTGGGTCAAAGGCAAGCCGGTTTCCTCACGATTTTTTTCTTCACCGTTCGAGCGAATGTTAAATGCGTACAGAAATAAAGTCCACATGTGCACACTGCACAGCCGGGGTTCGAATCTACGACCTCAGGTTGAGAGTCGCACGCTGAAGCCACTAGGCCAACACTGCTCTTACAATGTGTTACTCAAATTAGTATTTCGATTAAAAATAATGTTAAAAATAAACCCTGAACAATTTTCTTTCCAAAAAATAAAATTTTTGTTCTAGGTTTTATTTTATACTCTATACAAGTTTTCGTAATAATACAGTGTATATTTGTGGAAAGGATACAATTTGATGTCAAAGTAAATGAATGTAACCTTCGAAATTGAATTATATCAGATTCCTTTGATGTCTGCTTCTGTCCTTGAGGCTAGAATGTACAAGAATATATATAAACACTATACGACATATTATTTCTAACACAATGCACAATTTACGAATAGTGAGCGGTATTTTGGAAGCAAATTATTACAATTTTACGATTATTTATAGATTTAAATTTTGATAGATTTTTTTTTAAAGACAATTCACACCAATTGACCTAGTCCCATGCTAAGCTGGTGAAGCTTGTCTTATGGGTACTAGGCAACGGATATACATACATATTATAGATAGATAGACATATAAATACATATTTAAACACCCAAGATCTAAGCACAACACCAAATGCTCATCACATCGATGTTCGTCTCAGCCGGGGATCGAACCCGGGACCCATGGATTCGCAGTCAGGGGTACTAACCACTAGACCAATGAGTCGTCAGTTTTGATGTAACAGTAAAACTCCTAGTTTTAATGTTAAATGATCTAGTGCATTTAAATTATTTATATATTTATTTATTGATATCGTTATTCTTGTAACAACGTTTTAACTTTTAACTAAGTTTAATTTAACGAAATTATGAAGTGCAAACAAACCGCGAACGTAAACAAGCTAAAATAATAGCAAAACTAGTTAAGCGTTGGCCTCCAAACTCCGCCTAAAATATAACAATTTGAACTACCCCGCTCCAATAACGACGTGAGCTGAAAACTCTCGTATTTTTGCATTTATTTCCCGACAATTCAACGTTTTAATGTTGGGAAAATAACGCAGAGTCAAGTTTCATTGTATAATATGCCGCTTGGCTGCTAGGGCTGCCACGGAATATGGCAGCGCAAACTGTTAATAGAAAACACAATTGATTTCTGTTTCGGCCTTTCTATTTTTCGGGAAATTGATGGCTATGAAACTGGCAACTGAAGATCTATCCTATCTAAATATTGTATAATTCAATACAATTTATTAACATATTGCGTTTTTAAGCAAACATATGCTATATCACATACATGTCAACATATTTTATAAATTATATTTATTAATTAACTAGATAGAACAAGTTATGGAAACAGCAGGTGGTAGATGGCACAGTGGAGACAGAATTAGCGGGATTTGGAGGAGGTTTTTGCCAAAAAAAGGGCACACAGATACCTAAAAATTATGGATTAATACCTGCAGCTGAGTTTCATCATCGGACGTCGAGGCAGAATACTAAATTCAACCCGTATCACCTCGACGTCCGTCGTTTCACAACTGAGCGTTTTTTAAAGCAGTTTTTGCCGTGCACTACCACTTTGTGGAACCAGCTGCCCACTGAAGTATTTCCAAACCAATTCGACTTACGTCCTTCAAGAAGTCCTTCTTAAAACGCCATCAGCGCACTCACGAGCCCTCTTGAGAGTGTCCATGGGCGGCGGTATCACTTAATATCAGGTGCGCCTCCTACCCATTTGACCCCTATTCTATAAAAAAATGAGATAGAAAGCTAAATGAGTCAAATTATCTGAAATAAAAGGCTATTTTTAATAGAAACTAACATTAGCCGCACATTAAGTATATAAAACAAGATTATTAAGGTACTGATCACGTGACTTTGTACATATAAGATATAATTTACTTCCTTATATGTAAATTTTTTTTTTCAATAGACCGACTACAAAGTGACGATGAACTACGAGGTTGCAAATACATCCTGCATACAAAGTGTTTATTAGCGACAACCCTGTCTACTTCAGTGAAGTTATAAAAACATTATTATAAATGTAATGTTTGACATAGATGTAGTAAAAGTACCATTATGTAGCGTTTACTTAACAAGAGTATTACGTAATGCAGGAAATATAAAACTTGACCTATATTTTTAAGCGATAGATTCATTTAGATTGTATAAACAGAGGCCGTGCATTTGAATCCCTAGTCATTTTGTTAACTAATAACATCATTTAGATGCTTTTTTAAAGATGGCAATAGATGGGAGACGTGGTAAAAGAAGAAAAGTAAAAATGTACAAAGAAGAATGAAGACAGATGAGTCCTTTGGAGACTATGATTTGAAAAACCCCATTTTTATGGTTTTTGATGGATGGTTTATGTCAAGAGACAAGCTTTTTTGACATCCAACACCATTTGTCTTCAGTCACCGTGACCACGCACGCTGTAAAGCACGCGAAACGTCGGATAAATTTAAAATTATGTTAAATAATTGTAAATTTATAATAATACATAACTTTAATCCGGTTAAAAAGTTTTTTCTTTAAAAGAGACAAGCTGCTAATTATTTGTAATATAATTGTAAATAATGTAACAAATTGAATTAAAAAACTAGATTTAGTTAATTATTTATAACTAACATACCTTATAAAACTGTAGATTCAAAATAAATATCTATTTGTTTTTGACGCATTATAATCTGCTAAAAATAATTATGACTTTAAAGCGTGTTAGTACGAGATACGTTTCTAGTCAATCGGATTCCTGGATCCGTTAAGTTTGCCCTATATCTATGCTATAACCGCTCCTAGCCTCCTAGGGATATTAGTCTCCAGGGACATGCTCATAACTCGACATAAATCACGTCGCTAAATCGTAGAACCCCAAACGTCCCTCACATAAAATATTCCCTGGTATATTGTCACAAAACACACTTGTTATAGAGATACTCGCCAAGTGAATAATCATTTCATTCTTATAAAAATTAGTATCGTAGCAACCGTTTGGCACAGAATGATATTTTCATATGTCTATATTACCTTTTTTTTGCTTACCGTACTAGTAATGTAATGAAGAGTACAGCCAGCAGCGGCAACAATGTTCCGAAGCAAGCCATGAATAAAGTCTGCACATCGGAGTAACCTGAGAACATTGATAGAACTGCGACAGGTCACATGCCAGGGTACCAGACCAGATTTGGTCAGGTTTGTGATATATCATTGTAATTAAACAAATATCCTCAAATAAAAGTATAGATAATTAGTATATATGTGAAAAAGTAAAAAATATTATACAAAAATATAATATATATAAATGATTAGTTTAGAAGAAAATTAATGTTTTCTTTTAATAGTTTCTGACTTATAAGTAAGCAAGAGTGGAGATATATTAGTATTATTTAAAGTTTTTTTCACTAAAATTACTCATTTGATCATAAACTCAAACGCATAATCTTGCCAAGTTACAATTCAACAAAGTTAAAATCCTTATTTTCTCGAATTATTAAGGATTCCTTGAAAATAGCAAAGTTACTTTCCAACCCATCTCAAGAATAATGGGTTCAATTTATTGAATACCAGACGCTTTAATAACAACCCCGTAATTATCTGTAATTATCTACTCCCAGCCAGGATCTAATGAGAATCTACCACGGATAATTTATCCCACATAATGTGCAATTTCCATTAAATTGAAGTGTCAATGAGATGGTTCGAGCGAAACGAACGGGCATCGAATAAAAATAGGTCCAATAATTACTCCCGACTCAGCTAAATTATACCGGGTCAGACGGAAATAGGAACAGTAAATATTTTAGTAAATACGACTCGGAAAAACGTTATGAAAAGAGTTTTCCTTAAAACTGGTGCATTGCATTTGTTTGAGCTAAATAATTTGAGCACTTTGTTCATTGTGATATTTCATACCAAGTCGCTGTAGCAATAAGTACTTACTCGTGTCTGGTGCAAGGTCGTTGTCCACATCATGTCCTGTGATATTACCAAAGCTATAAGCACTCTTATTTTCACCAATCTTCGGCTTCTCTACTTCCACTAACTCTACATAGTCAACCTTTTTGAGCACATCACTAAAGTTCTTATCAACTTTATCTAAATTGTTACCACTGAACACAGCAGTCCTATTACCATCAGTCTCATTGAGCCGGGCGATCAAGAATTCGAATCTGGGACCCTCAACAAATTCCGATTCAGGCCTGAATAAAATGTCCGTTAAAGTTTCTTCTCTATCGGATTCTGAATCGATCATTGACTCCAGTAGAGCACTTGACGTGTTCAATTGTTTCTCGAATGCCTCTGCCTCATTTTTTGTCATTTCTAAAATACTCACTTGATCCTTTATCACCTTTTCCGAGAGAGCTTCATCCCTATCCTGTTCCGCATTCACAATTGCTTCCATTTGTTTATTAGAGCTTTTATTTGTCTCTTCTGGTGTCTCATCGGCTGGATCTTCTCCATTGGCAACAATAAGAGTATCAGAGTTAGAGTCGACTGGTATCGTAAAGGTGCTGTTGTTATTAATAAAGTCGGTGACATTAGCAGAGAAAGGCCGAGAGTGCACTAAATCAACTGATAATAGAGAGTTCAAAAGATAGAAGAGAAGTTTTAACTTGACGTTAGTCATTTTGTGGTCAATATGATTGCATAGTCTTCATCTTTAAGCCATCGAAAAGGTCGAGGAAACCTGGGAACAAAAAAGTTTTTGATGATTTGGTGTCTAATTATCACCCATCTTTAGGTTTCATATTATAATTACAAAGTAAGTAGTAAAATCGTTTGAAGTTATGGAAGTTCCTTTTAAATTAATTTTTATTTTTCTAATTTTATTACAATTTTTAACCTTCATAAGATATAGAAAAATCTAGCTATTCAGTTTATTCAAACATAATTACACTTGACTGTGTCTCTGACATAATTTATACAGCTCTTGCTTTTAGAAAGCTCTGAGTAAACTCAAAGCTGTTTCCGGATCTCCGCTAACTCCTGATTTTCTTTAACTTTTTCTGTTACTTTTATTTTAGTTTGGATCAAGATTTCTTTCATTAACTTAATCCATAAAACAAACTGTTCAACTTTTCCTTACTTACTAAGCATTTATATAGCCGGTGTATTTTTCAATAATTTAATTGTTAATATGTTAATTTAATATACAGTTTTTGGTGTCCAGAATGTAAGTCTTTTAAGGTTTTATTACTGATAAAACAAATGTTTGTTGCTTACTCTTAATTAACTGAACAAACAAACAACAAACAATGGTCAGTTGATTCATTAAATAGAAAATAATACTTGGACTTATAATATACCAAACTGTTTTAAGAGAGTTTATACATCTTAGTAACAGTAAATGTCTAATATTCTATTTAGATTAAAAGTTTTAATTTGAATAATTAATTGATATTAATACTATATACGCGCATGCTTCATTAATAAACCTCTTTGTCAAAGCCTTCGCAAAATCGACGTTGAAAAGCGCAAACAGCGTCAAGACAAATGTGTGTTGCTTACTATTGATCGCTGTAGCGCTGAAACAAATCCCTTTCATTGATTCACGAGCGCTGTCAGCGTTATCCGGTCAGAGAGGATATAATACTTTGTCATTATTGTCGAGCGATACATCATGATTTGTTTTGGATATTATTTTTGGGATCAAAAAGAATTTCGCATTACAGTTTTTGACAGCTTGTACGTTGTAATATTAACTTAATTAAATGTCTCATATTTTTTTAACTAGTAACGCGTTTGCCTGGACCTGGTGGAAGGTAAGATACTAAAGTTGTAAGTCCTAACTAAAATTTGCCCATTTGATATTTTCTTAAAAATCCATGATGTATTTATCCGGAATTTTTTCTTCAATCTTGAATCCAGCATTGGCTTTCTGGTGGTAAATGGATGATCTAAACCAATTTTATGCATTTTAATAGGACAGCACTTTATTAAAATAACATTTATCAAGTAACAGGTATTTTATAAAAGAAATACACAAATCCGATGTTGAAACCTAAACCTAAGCGGCTATTACCGGAAGTTAGTTTTAAGTGTCAATTGATCGTTTTCCGCTTGTGTCGTGATTGTCATTAAACACTGTCAGTAGTTTAATTTGCGTTTGGTTTGTTTTCGCAGCAAAATTCAAAATTCAAAAATCATTTAATCATTGAGGTAACATAATGTACATATAAATGCTTCTAATTCTTCTAATACATATTAATGCTTCTAATTTTACATTTAGTGCCAGTTCTCATATCAAGGGCGTAGTACGGAAGAGAAGAACTGGCAATAAACTCTCCGCCACTCTTTTTAATCGCCATGTTTTTTTTTTTTACACAACGTTTGTAAGGAGCTGCAACCATTAAACCATGTTCCACGTGACATCTTAAGTAATTAATAATAATAACATAAATTAAAAACAAAGAGTTGTCCTCTATCAACAGGAGGCATGGTGAAATAGGAGCACGCACTTACATTCTCGTGGGAACAACACGCAAACACATAGTCGAAATAATTAACATCACCGCATACACGAATTCAAGTACGACCAGTCACCACAAGTAGCACCCGTTCACGAGTATGACGCATGGCCAGCATTCAGCAGCATTCACTGAAATCGCTTACAATTAAGTTTCTACCTACCGCATACAAAACTTATGTACCGCCTTAGTTGTTCCATTAATTATGTACTAGGTTTAACTGCCAGAATAAAACATTCATCGACAATAATCATAACATAAAATACCGAATGATAAATCATGATTATTTAGACATTAAATTCATTTGTTTAACAAGTCACATATGACAAAAAAGGTTTTTAAGTGGAGTCAGAATGAACTAGCTTGATATAGTTTTACGCGAAATGTTGATACACACTCTTGTTGCATCGGACAGTATGTTTATCGTGTACATAAAGCGTTGTCTCAGTTTAGCAAACAATGAGAGTTTTGTGTATTTCCTACATATCGAAAACAGAGTATTGAAGTGTCATAAAGTTTGTTTACAGAAGGTTTATCTCCGGTTCAAATAAAAAAACGATTATATGGCGTGTACAAGGAGTCCTTTCCGTCCAACGGCACAGACAATTTGGGTTTTTCAGCAAATTGTTCGATGGGAGAGAAACCGTCGAAGACATTGGCCATGACGTTCGGTCAGTGGAAGTATTGACTCCTGAAACTATGGCTCAAAATGAAGAGATGGTTTTGAAACAACCGATTAAAGATAAGAGGAATTGCAGCTAGACTGGGGCTTAGTATTAGTGGAGACCTTTTTGGAAAATAAAACTTTTAATTTGGTTTATTATTTCATAGTTAGGGCCGTTCATTTTGGATCGTTATATGCGAACTTTTTTATTACTTTATGTACTTCAATCCTGCTAAGAGTAGCATATAACAACCTAAACCTCTGTAAAGACATCATCACGTTATAAATTGGTTAGCATATTGTCAAGAGCAGAAGTACTTGCAGTCAGAGAGGCGATACGACTTCCAACTATTCAAAGTTAGAGTGTACTCATCCCAAAGGCCGCCAACGCATTCACTAAAAATGGGTGTCCATGGGCTGCGATGACTGCCCATTTTGGGAATCCCGTAGGCTCTTTTGCCCCTATTATATATTAAAAAATTCAAGCAATACTTTGATTATATGCTCCCGACAAATCTATTCCTGGCTAAGGTACATTCGAACTAGTCTCCGTCAGTAACGTCCTGTTTTTCGTATAAGGCAAATGAACAATTTCCTTGAAACTGCCCCAGAATGTGACATATTTGTGATGGGTTATTAGGAATTATAGTGTAAAAATATAGGCAGTTGTTAGATTACTTAATTAGTACTTCAATAAATTATATTTTAATACCAATCTGTTCACATATACTTTACCAACAAAACATCAAATTATCAGCCAGTGTATATTGATAAGGTCATAGTGCGGTTCCAATATCCAGATACCTAGGTATGACGCTTGATGGAAGGTTAAAAAGAAGTGAGAAGAGAATATTATTCTCTTCTCTCTTCTTTTTAACAATATTATTGAAATTACAAAACCATTTGAATCAGTGAATTAGGGCGAGTGCACGTCAGTCTTAAGTGGTATAAAATATATTATTTTTTAATTATAAAAAATAGTACACAAGAACAGAGTATCTTCCTTTTAATAGAGACTGTAATTGGACACGTTCTGTATATTTTATTTCTACATTTTTATATTAATATCAGAATTACTGACGTATAATATATTATATTATATATCAATGATAAAAGCGTATAAGCCTCAGGAGCGATATTGCGATCGTTATGGGGCAGTTGACACGATTCTACCGTAATAGCGAGCATTTGGTTCAAGGTATATTAAACATAAATACAATATCACTATGTTTTATACTACATACTATACAATACGTACATTGTGAATTGAGATTCGTTTATATACACTGAGGTTAACTGTTTATCTAAAAATAAAAGAAAGATTATTTGTATTTATTTTTTTCTAAGAAGAAAGAAGTAAGCAACGTTTAAACTGGTAAAAAAGTTATTATAAGTTGTAAGAGCACCATTTTATTGAAGAAAATGCATGTTGCACTTGTGCTAAATTAGCGTGCTCGTTGTTTCTGTAAAAGAAACTAATTATAAACTTGAAGAAATAAAACGTATGTCACAAGAATTACTTAGAAATAAATGCAGTACCCTAACCCACACAAAATATTTTACCCTTAAATTTATCAACCTGTTCCACTGCTGGTAGCTTGGTAGTCTTGCAATTCAAACAGATATGATCTTTCCAGAAATACAGCCTGTCATCCTATAGCTTAACGCAGGATTAGATCAAGAAGATCAGCTTTGCAGTAAGAACAAAGAAATGATATGTCGATTATAACGGGTTAACTTAATACGTGTTTTATTAAATATAGTAGTAGGTTTTTATAAATTCTAATAATTATCTTCGAAGCAATTGGTCCTAACCACCTCCATTCATTAAACTCTGTGTTTTTGGTGTCAATAGCAAATTTACTTCTGTTTCCAGAGACAAATATACTCAAATACTATAAAATAAATAGTGTGCCGATAGTGCAACCGGACCATGTATCAGAAACAAAATTAATAAGACTTCCCGCTATAAAGTTATTGATGCTCTCCGATAGCATTTCGTAGACTCTCCAGCATCCTTTAAAAATCTTAATTATATCTTCCTTAGTGACTGTCAAAATCAACAACTTTACGCGACAAATTACTTTAATATGATAATCAATATCTAAATTTTTTATCAGTTGGCAACTTTATGTGACAGACTCTTGCTTAAAATAAAAACTAAGTTTATTAAGAGTGCTCTCGCTAGTTGAAAAAGCTATTGAAACGTTAAATTCAGTTAATAAAATATAATCCACGTTTATATCTGTTAAAGAAATGTATATTTTATAATACATAAATTTATTTTAATCTTGCTACTTTATTTTTTTAAGGTACAGATATAGGGCAAACGGCAGGAGGCTCATCTAATGTTAAATGATATGTTAGATCTGATGTCTTATGTTAAATGATATCACGCTAGTGATATGGGTATAGACACTCACTTTCCAGAATGCTCGCAAGTGCGTTGCAGGCCTTTTAGGAATTGGTGCGCTCTTATCTTGAAGGGATCCTAAG